AACAAGCTGTCGTTTTTGCGTAGTTTATTTTTCAAAGATGGCGAAAGGCCAAGCATATCTATTACAAGCACACAAGAAAATTTTCTCGGATGTTTCAAGAAAACTTCTTCTCAAAGTCCTTAAAAAATTCTGCATTCGCATTTGGCGCGCATCACGCATGCTAAGAGCATCCGCATCATTAACGGCCAAAAATGCCACGTAGAAATTCCATGAAGGGTTCACAAAATGACTGAGCATTGAAACTCCTTTTCCTTACATTAGCCGCATAAGAAGGATAGGAATCGTCTCCTGTGGTAAGGGCTAATCCAGAGGCACACATCTTAGTTGCATCACATCGTGACCGAGTTTGTTTTCCGACTAGCCATTTGTGACATCTTCGAATTTGCAAGCACAATCAAAGTATGATGTCACTCATTGAAATTTCGATCATCAGTAGGCGAACTTTGTCTGCGGACCTTCTTATCCCCATCAGTCTCAGTTTACCATTGAATGCTCTGCTCAGGTGCTGTGCTATCACTTACTTTGGAGATTATTTCACGCCCATTCGTATGTGTTAAGTTCTGGCCTACTGTGTGGGGACCAGGTTGTGTGTGGCACACGAAGGCTGGTTGTTTTGCTTCGTCAGCCACCTGGACCCTCTCCCGTCTGCGACCTTCCTGACTTTGTCCTGGCACACGACGCATGTGGACGAAGGGAGCCAGAGTGTGTTAGTTGTAGCACAAGTCTGCTTTGACCATAGACGAATTTATGCGTAAGTCACCGTCCCTGCGCCCGCCCTGCTGTGGGACACACGGTGGACTGCGTCTTTCTTGGTTGCCGAACTCGCCTGCCAGCCAGTTACGTCGGCGGACTTGATAGGTAAAATAAATAAATAATTAATTTTTATTAAAGACCAGTCGGGATCCCATCAAATCGAGTTGAAATAAATATACATATGAATTTTGCCCGAGGTGCGGAATCTGTACAAAGTGCAATTCACGATTTTGAATTTGTATTCCGTAAAGAAAACGGATGAGTGATCAGTGAAAATGAAAACTCCACGTAAGAATTTAAAAATGGCTGGATCGATTTTACAGGCGAAAAAACCGTCGCTCATAACTTATTAAATTACTTTTTGCAATGTTCAGGCTTTTTATTCCTCGAATACTAACCGACCTTCCCTTTTGTCAATTTCAAATGAAGTATTGAGGCCACCGGTCGTCTCTGCTGTCAACATTCTGAATTACGCCTCGAGCCCAGTTTGGGGGATTGCCTAGCGAGTGACTAAAGGCGTCAATTTGCGGACAACCTTTATTGGCTACCAGACGATTGGACAAATATTTACTCGCTAGCCGCAATGTTCTCTACGACTCTTGCGAAATTATGTTTGGTTGATACATCCAGTAGCGGAACGACCCGCTGGATGTCATTGAAAACGCGGCCGAGTAAGAAATTTCAGAAAAGTGCATTCATAGGCAACGGGCTACTATAACAATGTTAGAAGTGCCTACACGTTTTTGACGTGTTCATAGAAAATCGGCAGAATTACGCTTATTTTCTTTAAGGTGGACCACATCCATGAATATCTACCAATCGAAAAAGTCCAAACGGCACGAATTTTCAAGAGGGGTGGCTTTCTGATCGTATGCAAGCTGCGTCCTCGTTCTTTAAACAGTGTGTTCGGTTACTACCCCCTACCGCGTACGCTGTAGTATTAAATCGAGCACTGAGACTGCGTGCGCGCATTAGGTGTCTGATGCGAAAATGGCTCAAATAATATCAACGAAGCTTTAATGTTTAGGATGGGAGATTACCAGAATATATGCTAGCATATGTTTATCAATCTTACAAATTTCAGGTAGCTTGCCTAAGCTTAAGATTTCGCATGACTTTTGGCTTCCGTTGAGCATTCCGGCGAAGTTAGCCAGCTAGATATGGTAGTAGGGATGTGCATGTCATTTGGCCTACTTAACTGGTGAACGTTTCGCAAACGGCCGCTGAAATAGTAGTTACTTTTGGAGAAATATCAGTCTTTTTGGTCGGTATCTGTTTCCTGTTAACATGTGTCAGTCGCCTATCACTCGTCTCCCCACACTTCACTGAACCGAAATCCGTGTCCATGCCCAGATGGAATGCATCAACTTCTTTTCACCCATAGACGAGCGTCATGTCTTATAACCCCTCAATCGACCGGCATGGCCAAGTACCTGAGTAGTCTCTGCTTCCCCGACTTGTACACTATAGCCGAATTTGTTGGTTACGCGCTATATGTGACGGTATTTTCCATTTCGCGTCCCGTAAGCAATTCTGTTTTTTTATAGCGTCCGTCAGATAACGCGAATCGTCCTCAAGTCAACATGACTGACCTCACCGGCGTTGTAATTCACTTCGAAACTATCTTGTTTAGACCTGCAGCCATAGATCTGTCGTCATGGGGGACGACTCGATGACGACTAAGCTTAAATCAAGGGCAAGTTTAATTCTCCTGCGTTTACAATGTAGGCTGTAGAAATAAAAATTAGATCTCAGGAGCGGGATGCTACGAGTTCCGTTACCTGTAAATCGTATATGCTGCCTTGTAAATTTTCCGACATTCGGTCAGAGTTACGATAAGCTAGGGATGTCTCGCCTTGTCCACTTATCATGTTTATCGTTGGTGATGTCACCTATATATCCCAAGGCCTAAATTAAATCCTTCACTTATTAATCCCCTACAAATCTGGCTTATCTGACCGACACCAACCACTTCCTTTATGATCACATTCATTTCCATGAGCATATTGCACACCTACTAACACCGAGTACGGTGGTTGCGTGGACTAGTTAAATTCTGGCATCGGAGAAGCCGAATAACTAAATATATTTCTTTTCCTTAAGAGATAATGTACAACAGATATGAACATAGCTTTCAAAATCGTTGTAGGGTCGGAATTTTCTCCTCAGTCTGTTGATATTTCTGAGATGATACGAACAATGACTATGCGAGGCCACCAATCCAAGTCAAAGGTGAACTATGTCAGTCATGGAGAGCGAGTCAATTTCCGCTATAACCGGATGGTTGAAAGATAGAACATTATGCCAAGTTTTGTTTTCCTTGCAGAAACCTTTACGACCTCTAGTAGAAGCTTTCGCCGGTTTTTTATTCATAGTCGCATATTATCTTGGTATTAGTGACTGAAACAATTGTTATGCAAGTTGATGCAAGTAGGGTCCTCCCTATCTTCCTTAAATATGCCAAATTACAACTATGCAGATATCCACAATTTTTTTCTTTAGAATCATTTACGGTGCCGACGATGATCTTTCGGACTTCAAGTATTTAACTTTTACATGTTCACAATGTTGTCCTAATTTATTTCATACTTCTGTCATACTCATCACAGTATACGCTCTTTCGCCTAACGCCAGACTCTTCTAGTAGTTTTAATGTTGGAAAACCAACAATATTTTGCAGACCGAACTCGATTATTAGGAGAGTAAAAGAATTTATGCCACGCGAAAATGTATTTCTGTTTACACATTTCGCACATGTATTCCATCAATCAGATCACTGCAGTTCGCGAATTATCCAATGTCGCTTAATATATAGATACAAAACGATTGCACGTCAAATAAGGCCACTATATAATGACGAGAGGACTGTTTTCGGAAGTACTGCCAGAAGTCACTATGAGAAGGGATTAGATAGCTTTCGCTTATTTTCAGTCGTGGGAAAACAGACGTCAAAATTCGGCAAGGGCCGATACCCTAGTCCAGTTTAAATTTACATTTGAAGACATGCCTTAAGGTATGCCGCGGAATCATGCGGTGTGAACCACGATCCGCAGTACTACGACTCACATAACAGTAAAATGATAATATTTTTGACGAGCATCCATCTTAACCCATGTTTCGGTACCTATAGACGAACGCTGATCACTTGACTGTTGAAGACCATTAAGTTAGAAACAACAGTTCTCTTCAATTTGTGGTCTACCAAAGAAAAAATTGTCGATTTAATTTACAACTTTTTAATTGACGAAATATCTCTGAACACTCGACACCCCAATGAGGTGGAATGACCATGCATGCGGCACCGAAAAAATGCAAGTATTTTTACGTTAAGCGCCAATGATCTCACAAAAAGCGGCATAAGCCAACTATTCCGATGTCAGTGAGATCTTGATGTAGTCAGAAAATCTATGTGGGATATAGTCGGCAAAAATATATACAAAGGACAAAATTCGTACCTGGGGTGTGCACAGTAAAATGATGGAAACAAATGTGTCGGTCGCGTTGTAAGATTCTGCAACTGTGCGATCCATCAGAGCATATTCATGCCCATTGTCAAACCCATTTTCCAAAGTGCTCTACTGTCCAGCATTGTAACGAATAAGTGAACAATTTTCTCGTAGTTTACTTTATGGTACAGCACACCCTAAACAAATTTATTTCTAATCTGCAATACAGTGAACGAAATGTTAGATATTTTGTTGACTGTTTGCCGTAGTCATGCTTTCCTCTGTCGAAAATGCTCACTCCATTGCTGACTGCCTGTCTGAACCAAAAAACAAGACCAAAATTTAAAAATAAAAGCAATTTCACCTTTTACTTTCCTCTCAGCTTTATACACCATGTGGCGCATTTTTTCCTCGAATGCTAATTTACGCTCTCATTTGTTTATTTCAACTGAACTATTAAGGCCGTCAGTCGTCTACGCTCCCAACATTTCGAAAGACGTTTTGCGCCTTTCTCGGTGCGTCCGCAGGGTTGTATTAAACATACACTTCGCGGCTGCGCAGTATCGGGCCGCGAACAGGGAACCACCAAAACACCAAGAAATTATAAACTAACTCAGGAAAGTTAAACAACATGAAAAAAAAAGCGAATAATGCAAACAAATGCAGAATGTCAAAGATTACCTTTAATTAAATGGAAAACGTACGACATCAAAGCAAACAAACAGCGGAAAAATGGCACAACACCGCGACAATTGACACTACTGACTTCTATTACTGAGTAGGCAGCCAGGCTGGCCTTCATTATGTGCAGGTAGGCTCTACCTGCACAACACCGCGACAATTGACACTACTGACTTCTATTACTGAGTAGGCAGCCAGGCTGGCCTTCATTATGTGCAGGTAGGCTCTACCTGCACAACACCGCGACATTTCTTTACTGCATAGATGGTTGTGACGCAGATTAAGCGCCTTCACCCGCAGTTTGCCCTCGGTTACCATGGCAGTAAAGCGTGCCGTGCATCCGAACTTCAGAGACCTAAGCAGTTTAAAAGTTAGCATCAGTTGCTTACGTTGACTTTGTCCGGGAGCCGCAACTACGGAAAACTCCAGAATGACAGCATATGAAGTATATGTAGCGAAACTTCAACGTGTCAACCAGAGGATGCCCGGACGGGAGTCTCTCACTCCTCCGTTTAATGAAGTTGGTAAAGGAAGCCTGCAAAGGAATGGGTCTGTTATCGAGACTTACCTTCTCGTATTCTCTTATAGCAGACATTAGCCCCTCGTAGGTCTCGTAGACTCCAGATTTGAAAATGTCTTTAAAAACGGCGCATAACCTGCGCGTCTGGTCCATTGCTGTGGTGCATGGTCATGACATAACTGCGTCTACTTACCTGTCGGCGAGGTCGGACGCAATGCCCGAAAGTCCGTCAACCGGGAGCCTGGGCTCCTTTGCTTAGACGACCGCGGCGCCCCGGGCGCAGGCTCGTGCCCATGGATCGCGTGGGATGATGTAACCGCGAGGCAGCCCTCTCTGCGGTACTGTATGTTGAAGAATGCATCACAGCCGGTACGGCTATATAATGACATTAGACCGAACGAAAATTTAATCTTACTGTCGAGTTGACGCCAAAACGCACACGTATTTCCGACTATAGAATACAAACTTCTCTGCATTGGGGCTGCCAGCGGGAAGCCTATGCGAATTCACGGGCTTGAACCGGTGACCCGTTTCCTAACCTCAGTCAAGGCAAAAGGGTTTTATTCTCACCTCTGTAAATCGTGAAATTGCATCCTCCAACGCATCAAAGGATGTAAATTTCCGCCCATAAAGGAGACGGTGGAAGGTCGCCGACACAACATCGCCAGCATCCATAGCGTCCCGCAAGCGTGCAATATTCAAACTCCCGCGCGTCGAACAATAAGCCAATCAGCGAACAGCCGCCACCTATTAGCGCGCCGCCTTTAAAACCAGGGCAGCCGCCAAGTGTACGGGTAGTTCATTGCCGCGTCCGCACGTACTTCCTTCAGAAATCCTACGTTACCCGCGCAATCATCTTTTTGAAGTCGCACGATTATGCTTATTGTTTTTGTGATTGCGTTTTTGTTGGGATATAAGAAGATTTTATGGAGCACAGAATTGTACTGATTTAATATAATCTGGATAAATATTATTTAGACCATATATAATCAGTTGAAGTATTACATGCTTTTGTATTGTACAATCAAAGAAGCAAGTAATTTTTGGGTGAGAAAGGTTATGCAGTCCCAGGTTGTACACTACTTCGAGAGGAAATCAAGCAGTTATCCACTTTTCGAGATATCTATATCGATTTATATGGATTTTGCCCTTCAAACTAAGCTAGGTAGACAGTGCTTTTACCGTTTGATATAGTTAACAATATTAAAAAGATTCCAACATGAAAGAGAGCCAGGATTCCAATCAGAACAGTTACACCGACATGCAGTACAAACTGTCTAAACATGATGGCTTTCCCTAGGGAAACTTGATTCATATTCACTTAAACATTTACCTCCTTAAGAAAATTGACTCAGTTGGTATAAATTTGCTGAACGTCACCTTTTACCTTCAATATCTATGGCCGACTTAGACCGCAAATTTTTAGGCGATGAGTCCTAACCTACAAAATGAGCAACTTCTCAACAACACTATCAAATTTAGGTTGCTGGCATTTGGGCTTCCAAGCAGAATTCCCGTAAATCCGCCAGAAAGCATTTGCCTGCGACCACGTCCTCGCTTATGTCTACTGGTTCTAAACTTGCTAGTGAGTAACACAGTAAGATGACTACCTGTGTAAACTTCTGGGACTAGTTCGGGCATTTCTATTCCGGTGGTTGGTCTACCACCGATGACGTTCAGGGAAAGGAGGGATCACCCATCTCCACATAATATGCCTTCTTCTCACACGCAATGCGCTTGTACATTGTGCTCCGACGGAAGCCATAATACTTGCGCTTCATGATTGCTTTCATTGATGGGTATAAAACAAGATAAAATGTTTTACTACACTTGAAACGCCCACTGTGAGATTAAGATTGCAATTAATTAATAAACCTACTCGTATAAAATAAAATAACTTACTAATGGTGTAATTAAGACCATAAAGGCGCGAAAGACATGAAATCGACGTGCGAGAACGTATCACTTCGTCGCTAGCATCCGGTCGAGCAGCAGAAAAATGGCGTTCAAGTGGCCCACTTAAACAAAAGCGTCCTAATCTGCTTATCCAGGCAAACTATCATCCCCTAGAAGTGAAGACTCTAGGCACTTTCTGTGTGAATTAACGTATATTTAGGCAAATACGCAAAATTAAAACACGGAAGATTTCATCATAGCGGCTGAATCGACTCTTGAACTTTCTCAAAATATGGTGTGGCCATGGCCACGTCCAGCCACGCTTGGCCACACCCAAAAGGCGGGGCCATGTGTTGGTAGGGTAGGCACAGTTTGTTTTGCTACAAAATGCTGTGGTATATTTCCATCTTCGAAGTTCCGCTTAAAAAAAAGGCATAGCAGTCGCGGAGTTGGTCTCGCCATCAAGTCCGCCTATACCATCGCGTAAGAAGTTTGACTTCTGGACGTGGTCGGATCGCGGGAAATTAAATGCTCTAAGTTTCATCGAATTTTACTATCACAATTGACTACACCTGACCGAATTTTTAGCCATCCGGTCTTGCGCATTTAATGTCCAACCAGGAGACTCAGTCATTTGAGGACGAAGTGGCACTTGTACGATGTCTTCCCGAGTTAAACAACCTTCGTATGACAGGCGAACTGACCGATGTGACTATAGAGGTAAGTTTATAAATTAACTTTACTGTTCTTTACTCATTTCAAGCTACAGGACAACGTGTCGTTGCATGTACACAGGTTGGTTTTGGTCTGCAGAGTACCCCCCCTACGTGAATCCTTATGTACAATGCATACGCAAAAAAAGACTGTTCTTCAGTGGCCAAAGGTTTCCTCAGAGTAATCACTTGTGGTTTATTACGACTACCGCGCAGAGTCGCTAAACCACTAATCGACTATGTGTACACGGGCCAGCTGGAAGTCAATGAAGCCAATGCTACTGGTCTGATTGTTCTGTCGCAACAACTCGTAATGCCTCAGGTGGAAGAGTGGCGGTGAGTTTTTTGGCCGCCAGGTAGGTGTTATCGAGCACTTATGAACTCCCAGGTTCAACTCCGAAAACATTAAAAAATACTGGGACCTCGCAGAGTTGCTTAAGAGCGAACAGCTAATGAAAGCCTGTCTTCAGCACATAAAAACAAACTTTGAGGCCACGGTTGCGAGCGACTTCTTCATCCAGCTGCCAGCTGACACTGTCTTGTCCATACTGCGGGCTGATGACCTCATAGTGGGCAGTGAGGAGAGCGTCTTCAATTCAATCGGACGTTGGGTAAGTTCATCTGGCGAAGTTGAAGAGAATCGACTGGTGCACGTGGAAGCCATGCTTCGGGAAGTGCGATGGAACCAAGTTGACGCCGACTTCAGATCCAGACTGTTAAATGAAGAAGGCTTTTGGAATAAAACTATGGAATGTTTGTAGGCTGCGGAAGCGCTTTTACCTTTTAAATTATTTAAGTAAACTTCTAGCTCGAGTAATCGCCTGGATCGAACATCCGTCCTCGAGAGTGGATGGAGAGTGTCCGTTTAATGAAAAACGCAGAAGGCCATTGGGTGGCATCTGCTTCATTGGCAACGTGAAAACTGGTCAGCGGTGCTTTATCGAGTACGATGTTAACGCAAACACTTTGAAGCCACTAGTAGTTGTAACATGTTCATCTAACGCGGTCTTCGTAGTCATTGAAGGTGAGTCTCAAGGCATTGGAACTTTTTGGGAGCTGTTATACCTGTCTTTCTTTATTTTCGACTGTCACCTGGAAGCGATCTGAAACGTGGACTTGCAGAGGGGGCTAGTCGTTACGTTGCCTATGCCGTGATTGCATGCGAGAAGGTGCATTCAGATGGTTGGGTACGACTGTTTGGAGGCAGGTATGTCGGAGCCGAAATCGGTCGAGTGGCTTCAGGTCAGCGCGTGTGAAACGGCTCGCTGCAAGGGGGTGAATGACCTTGAGGCAGCGAGGCCTTGGGCGGGGACACCAGGCAGCCATGATGGCTGTCGGCAACACGGATATTCTCCCGACCAATATCACATGCTGTTCAAAACGTCCTCGATTTTGCCCTAGCGACTGTTATTCGTCCGCTGTGTGCTTGCTTACTGAACGCAGCTCACATGTACCAACCTTGACAACCATCTGTCTGCGTTCTTTTTTTGTCAAACATTCGTTTCTCATCAAATTCACAAGGGGTGTCAGTGTTTTGCATACAAAACGACTGTCTGATTTCAGGCTTTCACATCGAACTCAAGTAATCGGAGCGTACTGCTGTCTAGAGTGTCCAAAGGACCGTCTAACGCTTCTTAATTGACAAATGATTGCGTTTCGTCTGTTATTACCAGCGTTTGTGTGGTGACGATGATGGCTTTTTACAAGCCCCTGTCTTTTCTCCATAACACGCAGATCCGCCTTCTAAATTTCTACCCGAACGCGAAGCATGCGCATCGACCGTGTAATGTTTGTGTAAACCGAACAAAACAAGCTCCCCAGGATTGACATTTTTTGCGAAAGACGCTTATCTGAATGTACACAGGTTGGTTATGGTCTGCAGAGTACCCTACCTACGTGAATCCTCATGTACAATGCATACGCAAAAGAAGACTGTTCTTCAGTGGCTAAAGGTTTCCTATGAGTAATCATTAGTGTTGTATTACAACTGCCGTCCAGATTCGCTAGACCTCTAGTCGGCTAATTCTACACGTCTGTTACTATCAGCGTTGGTGTGGTGACGTCGATGGCGTTTGACAAGCTCCTGTCTTCTCTCCGTAACATGTTTGCATCAACCGGACAGGGTTTGTGTGGACCGGATATTCAACTTAAAACGTGAAAGACGCTTATCTGCCTTTTCGTCTCCTCGCAAGGCGTCGCCCACTGTAAGCCGTGGGAGACTGCTCCCGTCGCATAGAAGTAAGTTGAAAAAAGGGTTTTTCGTCTTCTCTTGTACTTTTCTCCATTATCCAGAACATTGATTCTTTATCGCTGCTGGCGTTTAGCAGATCCTCCGAATTCATGAGAGCACTAATTGTGGGGCCATTTTTCGCCCTTAAATCTATATTTTCTCGCATAGTCGACGTGTTTCGTTGATTTCTGTGTACTCGTTTTCGTATTTCCTCACTTCGCTCCTTATTGCATTGGAAACAGGCTGCATCTTCGCGATTGGAGGAGATGAAGACGACGGCAGCTTTCTAAATGTTGACAAATTTGATACGAATGAACTTCGGTGGAAGGAATGTACGCCGCTCTCCACGGGACGGATGTACCTTGTGGCAGTTGTCGTCCCAGTCGGTCAGGAAAACGTGATTTGTGTCGTCGGAGGATGGAATAGGCAGGACGAGTGTCTTGGAACTTGTGAAGTCTACTCTCCACAGGAAGACAAGTGAGTCTGCTGGCTGCGGTAACCGCATAGTAAAGTACGTGGGTATTGTGTTCACCGCCAAAAATGAGGCAGGGTTGAATGAATTTTTCTGCCGTATGGGATGGTCGTAATTCAACTGTGCTCCTTTCCCAGACTCGAGGCCTGAGGGCATTACGCACTGCATTAGGACACCGCGTCTATCCGCCGATTAATCTCCTGTCTTTACTTGGCCTCTATTTGCTCGGACTTGGCTATAGTCAAAGGTAATTTTCTACCGCCACTGATGTGATCTCACTTTCTGGCCGGAACTCCCTCAGATGTTTAACAGTCAGAAAGGTCTCTGGCGTGGCTTAACAGCCCACTTCTTCCATATTCTTTCTCAGGTTCCACAGGCGTTATTTGTAAGCTCATTGAGGACTTAGCGATCGTGATTTGGCTTTTTTTGCTGAAACTGTACATTTGGTCCAAGAATGCATGAGATACAGATTTGCTGAAAATTCCGACTAAATTGTCTGCACATACCGATCAAAACGCGATGTTCGACGTAGCCAACTGCAACGGAGCGACTGTTACCGCACTGGACAGTTTCCTGAGAGGAGTGGTTTGGTTGAAATTTTTGGTTAAGAACGGCGATCTACCGGTAAGATTTGAGGCACTTAAGCTTGCCAAAACCTCCAGAAGCGGGGCGATCGTCTCCACCCCACCACACCCCCAGACACTGTTCCTGCTAAGTAAATCTAGTTTTCAATGGGGGATCTCAGATCTCATACTAGTTAGACTGCGATTAAGTTCATATTAGAGCTATTTTAGGCTGCACCTCTGTTCTGGGTATGCTCGAATAGCTTGATCAGGTGGCATCCTTCTGCAGCACGATTTTTGGCAGTCATGATGGTTTAGAAGCCTGTAGGTTATTTTGTGGTGGGGAAACTGAATACGGAATCGACCTCGCTTTCTCCTCACCCATGTGTCAGCGCCCCGTCCGTTCAGAACCGCTCTGAGTCCAGACCGAACTCAGTGAAGCCGCTCTCGCCTACCACGTGACGCGTACGTGCTTAAATCTCAGTTCTATTAGCAAATTGACGGAGTCTTAATTGGTAGTCCACCGATGTTTTTCTGACGCACCTAGAAGAAAATGTGTCACTAAAATTGAACATGCCAGATTTATGCAGGATCTACGTGGGTGATGTATTCACGATTTTGATAACAAGGAAGACGCCTACTACCTACACTGTGTAATGAATAATTTGCATCCGAAAATTAAATTCGTGATGAAAACGGAGCAGTGTAACAAGCTACCTTTCCTAGACGTTCTCATGTTTAGAAAGGCTGATGATTCGATACGGCCCTCCGTTATCCAGAAGATCACATGGAAAGGGCAATACTTACATTTTGAAAGCTTCGCACCAATTCAACGGAAAGAAATCTACTACATACTCTCTTTTAAAGAACGATAAATGTTTGCTCGAGGGGAACCCTAGATACCACAATTGTCCGCTTTAAAGAAGCTTACTTTATCGTGGGTATCCTTCATGCTTAATTCGAAAATGCAGCCACTGTTTACGGCCAAAATTGACGGGTAACTACTAGAGTCTGATCCACGTTCCAACTGGTCGCAGAGTTTTCATGTTATCTGACAGTCCCCCCCCCATGTTACGTTTTTAAACGCACTTTTTGTCGGCTTTTTGTCTGCACAGTGCGTTAAAATTGCCCTGCTGAATAGATTGTTGTCATAAGTAGGCCACCGTTGCAGTGACCTAACTGAGGCACACTTTTCCCGTTGTCTTCATTTCAGATGGTATAGACTACCTGGTTTGAGAGCTAAAAGGCAGAAGTCTGCCGCTGTTGCACTGCCGGACGGTCGCGTGTTTGTGATTGGCGGCGAATGTAGTGACAAATCGTTGTCCTCTGTGGAGATGTGTCATTTACGAGAGCCAGCAGACTGGCGCGGACACGGAAGTCATCAGACAGCTTTTGGAAGGCTGCTGCTCCCACAATATCTGCATATAAAGAATTCACGGCGGTCACATTCAAGGGCAGCATTTTTACTTTTGGACGCAAAAATAGTTATATTTTTGGTAATTATGGTTATTGTTATACATTTTGGGTTGACGTCTTCGCCCCGCCCGACAACCGGCGACCCTTGGGACAGTGGACACGCCTCAGTGAGAGTAACTTAAGGGAGTCTTTTGTTGCTCTCGCCGTTTACCAGGACAGACTATTTTCTTTCCGTAAGTCAGCAGTTCTGCCTCTGCGTGGTTTTGAGCTGGACTATGATTATCTTCAGACAGTGAAAAATAACTCCGGGAATTATCGTTTCACTTTCCCCTTGTTCAATGACAACTTTGCTCTTGTGTATTTGCTTTGGACTGTTTTTTGTGACTGACTGAACGATTGGTAATTGCCCAGTTTTTGTATTATGCCGCCTCATGAACAAGACAAAACATTCTGGAGGCTGAAGTGTCCAGTCGTCGATCTAACTCTGTAATCTTGCTCCGTCGTCTGACTGGCTGAAACGGGACAAAATGTGTAATACCAGTCGACGGTACTTTATCCGACATGATAAGGTTGTTTTCATTCATAAACTATCTGCATTTGAATCGACCTGGGAGATAGCTCTGCACGGTTCTCGATTCTACAGCACAGTCTCCAGTCGCCGATGTGCCGTCTAGCGTATGTCTTCCATAACTGGGCAACCCTCGTGATTACCGTTCTCAAACTGGAGAAGATGGCTGTTACAGTGATCTTGAGCCGATTTATTGTCGTATAGCCAAATAGGAGACAATCTATGCACTGACACTTAATGCGGCTTAAAAAGTAATTTCAAACCATCGAAGGTCTATATGGACTCGCGGCGCTATATTATTCCGTTCATAGTATCTTCGTGGTTCATCCACTTCTGCCAATATAGATGATGCACTGATGGCTGTGACTGAATGTGAACCTAGGCGTTTAGTTCGACTGCTCCCTGGGGATTAACTTCCAGGTAAACTGCAAGACTTCGTCCCTAATGAGACAGTCAAGAGTCGATGCCAACCCCATAGGAAGGATGGTTGAATCACTTGGAACATTCTAATCCTTTCCTACTTCATGCGTATTGCTTTAATTATATTCAATGCTTCGTGTTCGTCTGCAGTGCAAGTGAGGGGAGAGCAGCTAGCTGGAAGGTCGGTTCGCCTCTGTTCTCCAGGACATGCAGGCACTTCTAAAATCCCAAGAATTCTCGGCAATAGATGAGGTGTTGTTTCGGGCCGATCGAGCCAAATTCCATTAATGGAATCCTCTGGGCTGATTTGATTTTACCGATGACTTATCTGTGTGCCAAAACGGCTTTTCCACCAGCGCACTATCAGAGCGACCGGTAGTTATGTGCCCACAAACTCTCCACATGCATCCCTTCTCCTCTTCCTCACCCATTCCAACATCTTTGGTTGTTTTGACCGGTGACATGCCTCCGCCTTCACCTATTCATAAAACTTCATTTGCAATTTATTAGCGTTTACTTTCCTTCTCCTCATTGGAGGTTACGGTGATAACCAAGGCGTATCAGTCACGGAGTTCGTCCAGCCGTCACGTCGACCCAGGTCATCGCGCAAGGAGTTTGACTTTTGGACCTGGTCGGATCCCAGGAAAATGGACGCTTTAAGCTGCATCGAACGAGCGTTTACTCTGCGCTAAGATTTTTCAAAGTTGGTAAGACCTCTGGCCTTGAGAAGAATTTGTAAGATACGCTTACGTGTCCTTTTTCTATTAAAGTGACTCGGATACGTCTCATGTTTTAAATTCCATTTCTGGGTCAAATACAAACTTGGGAATTGGACATCAGAGTCAGTAGGAGTTACATAGAGCTGTTGGCATGCCTGATCTAGTTTAAATCAATAATCTCGTAGCGCGCATCTGCAACAACATTCCTTAATTTGTATCGCTCCCTGGAGACGAGACAAAGTCTCGAGACCCCAGGGGCCACCTCCACGTCTCGGAGACTTGTGTCGAGCTAGGCCGCATGCCGATAATTTAGCCGACTCCAAATAGATACTGAGGATTTGCTTGCAGCAGCGGCACCAAAAATTTGGCGTGTGTCAACCCAGTCTTCTACCATGAATAACCGAAGGTAGTTTTGTCGTCGCAGTATTCCAAATCGTCTCACTCACGTGGGATGTCAGTTTAGATTCCAGCAAGGACAGATCTTGGAAACTCTCAGTGAAGAATCTCCAATTTACGCACGTCGGCCACGAACGGATTTGTGGCTTCAATCAGAAAACGGTAGGTAAGGATGTCTGTAATTCGGGAATATCAGTAATGAAGGTTTTATTAGTGATGCCTTCGATGGTCGCAGATAGCTACTTTCGGGAACCTGAGGGGAAGGAAATTCACGCCGCTAGGCATCTGGATACACTAACGACGCAAAAATACGCAAGGTTGCAATCGGTAATATTGGTAATCATGTGCTGTAACCGAGCGGGAATCGATGTCTCGAACCGTGATGATCAGTCGCGTAGTGGGGAGACAGTACGAAGCATGTATCGTCAAAACTGAATCCCGCGATAGCCACGGCTGGAAGAACGCAAAACTATCGAACTGCAAATAGTCTCCGAGAGACCGTAACTAATGCTTTATATGCATGCACTGGTATGCTTTAGACGTAGTTCTTCACGCGGGATCAGTAATTGTGCACAACTGTGCCTCACTGGTTGGTTGGTATGCCCGATCAGCTCCAACTCAATCATTCCTGTCACAACCTCCGCAATGACGACAAATGACAGTCCTACCGTCCGCGACGACGATGTCCACCGCGCGCTCCGCAGCCAGCCGGAGCAGGGGCGGTGACTTGCGCAACATCAAACTCACTCTCATCATCCTCCATCTGGACCTGGTGTCAAGACTGAGTCAAGGAGACCGGAGGCAAGCCAGGGCACATGTGGATGGCACGGACGGGTCCTCACCTTGGCGCTACGCTCCGCACAATCTGTTTCTCTCAACAAGGGGCCAGGTATTGAGCAAACAACAGCAAAGATTTGAGGCTGGCACGGCTAAAGCGGCACGCAGACGTGCCTACGCTGAGTGGTCAATCTCACTCTCCCACCCCATTCCCACACCCCAGCCACTGTCCGAGACGGTCAGTTGACAGGTGCGGGGAATGGGAGCGGTGGCTGACGTTGTCACTAGACCTTGCATGGATGAATGGCCCCGCGAACAAAGACACCGGGATTTTACACAAGGGGGGTTGAGCGGCGTTCATCTCACAAGTGTGAGAGTGTCGTTGGTCACATTGAGAAGGAGTTGTTTCAGCCTGGCTCTCAGCCCACCAGTGCGCCACTCCACGCAACGCACACAAAACTGGACGAACTGCGTGTGCTGAGTTGGGGCGTCAGTCAGAGGCCTTTCAAGCCACAACACTTGACGCGCCGTGAAAATTTCAGATTCGAGTCACACATGCAGCTGGAGTTCCGCATGGAGACGGAGTCAACAGGCATAGCTGAGCGGGAGGTTGCAATTGGATGCTTGTGGTGGGTGAATGTTGATGTACGATGAGATGCTAGTGAGGAAAGATGTGATGGTGTGATGCAGCCGACAGTTGTGCACCGTGGGTTTTCGTGGACGCGCATTTGGCCCAACAGACCCATGCGGTGAATGAATGTGCGAGTACAGTGTGGGCAGTGTAGGTGGATGCGGCGAGTGTAGGTTAATGCTCCAGGCACTGTTTCTCCAGTCTCTGTGCAATGAATTCGCAAGTGACCGAACGGGTGGATGCGTGAGGTGAACATTTGGTAACAATGTGGACATGAGAATTCGACAGTGTCAGTGTCAGCTGTGGTGATGTTGGTGGTGGTGGACTTTGTAGTGGTCGGTACGGGTGTGGGTTGGACTAGTCATGGTGGGTGTGCAGGATGACTTCAACGTGACGGAGCTGGTGGACAAGCAGACACAGCCATCAGGCAGGGACGGGATTAAGCAAGGCAACATACGAAGTCCAGCACACTAACACCTAGCTATTAGCAGAGATAGGCACAGACAAACGGACGCAGACCATACAACAAGAGCAGCATACAGCAAGTGACATTGACAGACAAGTAAGTGAGGAAAGAGAGCAAGGTTCGCTTACCTGAGGGCTCACTTACCTTGTGGCCTCCCGCAGTGTTTCAGACGTAGCCTCGTCTGGGCGATGCCGATGCGGTGACCCATCGGGCCAGCCAAAACGTGATTACCGTGTGGGTAGCTGCACACAGGGATACCCTCACCTGGTTTAGCTCGCTGGTCGAGGCAGTTACCTGGGGTGTGGCAGATAGGCAGAGCCTATCTTTGGGTAGCCACAATCTATTAGTACTTTCTTCAATGTCCGTTTGCATTCAAAGCAGTTGTAACTTGGGAGGACATAGCGACCATTAGTCGTTTATGGTGAACTAATAAAAACACCTCCAGCTTTGATTTCAACGATGTCCGCGTGTGCTTTACAGCTTGGTGAAAGCAGGGATGGTGACTTGCGCGTGACTTAACTTATTGTAGCAGTTGACTTGCACTGCATCTACCGCACCCTCCCCTCCCCAGCTGGAGTCAGCGTCAAGACCAATTCAGGATGACCGAAGGCGGGGGAATGCCGCAGGTGGTTTGCACCTAGGCGTGCCACCACACCCGCTGGTCCACAACAACTATTTGGCCTGGACTGCAAACAGAAGCCCGAATGTCAGCATTAGTTGGCGGCGCGCATTGCCGATAACACCTGCCAGAATCTGATGTAGCCCTCCTGCATCTACCGCGTGGCCCGTTTTGGGCGTGTGGTGGACTGACGCATGCAAGCGTTGAACACAGTGTGCTTTTTGCCTTGTCACGATTTTGCTTAATTAGATTAAAAGGATTTTCGATCCAACGAAGGTTCGGGCTATTGGCGGCGATAAAACGATATTGCGGTGTACAGGCCATCTACACCATCAGACGTCGACAGTGTTTGAAAGTTGTTGATACGGTGTGTTCACGTGGGAGGTTCATCGCACAAGTGACTATTAAGGCAGCCTTTGTTGACTAGTCTAAAAGTATAATCTCATCACAAAAGCAACTGCTTTGTGGTACCAATTAGCTGATGGAGATCGCGTTTCGTCATTCTGTTTCTTCTAATGTGCCAATTGTTCCTTGTCAATAGTCTTAAAGACTACGTGAGAGTACTTTTAGTGCATTAGAGATAAAGTCACCAGCATGCCTGCTTGTGGACCATTCTGGTCCAAAGTGATCAGTTCTAGGCAATATCACATTACTGATAAACCTACAGCCGGCTAGTACCGAAAGGTGTTTTTTGTCTTGTCCCAACACTGTCTATATAGAGTAAACATAATTTCAATGGAATTGAGGTCCGGGCTGTTAGCGGTAATAAAAATAATTTGCAGTTCACAGGCGTCGACAATACTTCAAAGTCGCCGTCGATAGCATCTGTACACGGAATGCAAACCACATCAGTTATTCATATATACATATATATATATATATATATATTCCCAATGATAGAGAACACGCGCGGCCCAGGTAATTGAATAGAAGAAGATGGGAAGGCGATCGCTGGGACCAATTGTTTACTTATCCGACGTTTCGAACTCTCACGCGAGCCCATCGTCAAGGAATGAAAAATTGTACAACTCATCGTGTATTTAGCTCACTTCTGCCGGGGGTGACCTCTAGCTGCGTTGCTGATTTGCTCTCGCAGTGCTTGATAGGCGATTGGCAGATCGATATGTCGATTAATCGAGTCCTCGGTTGACTGCCATGTTTCCTGCAGCAGGCGAGCAACTCGGTCGTCCGACTGGCCCAATATTCTCACGCACTTAAAGTCGAAGCCGTGTCCTGGCGTGGAGGCGTGGGCGGCTACCAAGGAGAGTTTGTCCTTCCGTCTCACAGCCAACTCGTGTTCGTGCAATCTCGTGCGTACTTGTTTGCCGGTTTCGCCAACATAATTGGCTTGACCACAACTGCAGTCTATCCGGTAAATGACCCCCGATTTCTGGTTGATAGGAATCGGGTCCTTAGGGTGCATGAGTTGCCGGCGTATTGTTGCATCAGGTCTGTGAGCGACACCAATCTCAAATTCGCTCATCAATCTAGCGAATTCCTCTGACACACCGGCTATGTACGGCACTGCGCGCCAACATTTCGGTTTTGGTTGTCCCTTCGGTTGTCTTCCCCGGGTTTCTCGCCTGCACTTTTCGACAAAATTCCCAGGGTAGCCGTTCGCTGTGAAGAGTTTCCGCAGGAACTGGACCTCAGCCTTCTTGTCGGCTGGCTCGTTGCAATGGGGTTCTACGCGCCGGTAGAGTGTTCTCACGCAGCTGCGTTTGTGCGAGAGAGGGTGGTTGCTAAGAAAGCTTAGAATACGGGAGGTATTCGTTGCCTTCCGGTAAACCGTTGTCTTTAATGCACCATCACCTTTTCTCTGAACTAGTACGTCCAGAAACGGCAACTGGCACTCTTTTTCTTCCTCCATCGTGAACTGGATGTCTGGGAAGATCGAGTTGAGGTGTTGCGTGAATTCCCCAATCTTGTCCCGATTGATGATGACAAATGTGTCATCGACATACCGTAACCACAGTCGTGGTCGATAGTGATCGAAAGCCAGTGCCTCGAGTCGCTGTAACACTGCCTCAGCAATCAAGCTGGATAACGGTGACCCCATGGGTGTACCTTTAACTTGTTCGTACACAGCTCCGTTGAAGGTGAAGAAAGTCTTCAAGCAGTGCTTCAGGAGATCAATAAGGTGTTTTATCTTCAGTTTCTTGTCCGTTTCGTCATATTGTTCTTCCAACAAGGTTTGCAGGGTTTCAACCGCCAGATGCTGTGAGATGGAAGTGAAAAGTGATATCACGTCGAAAGAAACCATCACTTCGTCATCTGTGAGTCGTATACCTTGCAGCTTTTCGATGAATCTTTCGGCTGAGTGGACGCTTGTTTCAGAACCCTGGGTTAGAAATTTCAGACGCTGGAACAGCCACTTGGCCAGGCCAAACATTGGGGTGCCTCTTAGAGAAACAATCGGCCGTAGGGGAGTTCCTGGTTTATGGACCTTGGGCAGACCATAGAATCTCGCGATCGCTGAATCCTTTGGTTTCATCCTCAGCCAGTCAAGCTGTGTTATTGCTTTTGACTTCCGAAGACTCGCTAGGTCCTTATTGATTTCGCTTATTAGCGTCTTCGTCGTGTCGCCTTCACGAGGAATGTAGGCAGTTCTGTCGCCCAAAAGTTCATCGACTTTGTTGGTGTAGTCCTCTTTGTTCATTACAACCGTCGATCGTCCTTTATCGGCTGGGAGTATGACAATGCTTTTGTCAGCCTTTAACGTCCGGAGTGCTTCGTCTTCTGCTTTTGAAAGTGTCTTGCGTTGCCTGTGGGACATGAGTCTGGAGGATATTCGCTGTCGTAGCAGATTCCTGTTTTCTTCAGTAATTGGAGCTTCGCGAATGACAGATTCCGCAGCGGCGATGAAGTCAAGTGGTTGGGCATCCGTAGTATTGAAGCAGGCATCATGACTCAGCACTTTCATCTGCTCTGCTGTCAGTTGTTTGGAAGATAGGTTGTGCACAACCTTATCATGGCAGAGGTTTGGATTCTTTTCACTTAGTGTGGTCAACTTCTGCTTCAGTTTGGCTTCACGCACATCGCGAATGCGACTGGCACTGAGAGAAATGCCACGGTGAAGGTCGTTTGTCAGCAATTCTCCAAGGATCCGTGAGCATTTTGTTCGTTCTTCCTCGATTGTTGCCTTGTATTTGCGCAGTCGAAGATGACAATCCTGGATTAGAACCCGAATCATTCTGCGTCCGTGTTGTAGAACTGTTCGCATACCTAGCTCGGTGTTGACAGGAGATTTATATGAGAGGCATCTCGGCAGAGTGTTTGAGTCTAGGCAGCTGTGTAGGAACCTCATTTGAGCGTACGTTGAAGCCTGTCGACAGGAGAAGGACTCCCAACGACGTGCTGATTTAAGCGCTTCGCGCCCGAATGTATTCCGAATGATAGAGAACACGCGCGGCCCAGGTAATTGAATAGAAGAAGATGGGAAGGCGATCGCTGGGACCAATTGTTTACTTATCCGACGTTTCGAACTCTCACGCGAGCCCATCGTCAAGGAATGAAAAATTGTACAACTCATCGTGTATTTAGCTCACTTCTGCCGGGGGTGACCTCTAGCTGCGTTGCTGATTTGCTCTCGCAGTGCTTGATAGGCGATTGGCAGATCGATATGTCGATTAATCGAGTCCTCGGTTGACTGCCATGCTTCCTGCAGCAGGCGAGCAACTCGGTCGTCCGACTGGCCCAATATTCTCACGCACTTAAAGTCGAAGCCGTGTCCTGGCGTGGAGGCGTGGGCGGCTACCAAGGAGAGTTTGTCCTTCCGTCTCACAGCCAACTCGTGTTCGTGCAATCTCGTGCGTACTTGTTTGCCGGTTTCGCCAACATAATTGGCTTGACCACAACTGCAGTCTATCCGGTAAATGACCCCCGATTTCTGGTTGATAGGAATCGGGTCCTTAGGGTGCATGAGTTGCCGGCGTATTGTTGCATCAGGTCTGTGAGCGACACCAATCTCAAATTCGCTCATCAGTCTAGCGAATTCCTATGACACACCGGCTATGTACGGCACTGCGCGCCAACATTTCGGTTTTGGTTGTCCCTTCGGTTGTCTTCCCCGGGTTTCTCGCCTGCACTTTTCGACAAAATTCCCAGGGTAGCCGTTCGCTGTGAAGAGTTTCCGCAGGAACTGGACCTCAGCCTTCTTGTCGGCTGGCTCGTTGCAATGGGTTTCTACGCGCCGGTAGAGTGTTCTCACGCAGCTGCGTTTGTGCGAGAGAGGGTGGTTGCTAAGAAAGCTTAGAATACGGGAGGTATTCGTTGCCTTCCTGTAAACCTGGGCGGCGCGTGTTGTCTGTCATTCGGAATACATTCGGGCGCGAAGCGCTTAAATCAGCACGTCTTTGGGAGTCCTTCTCCTGTCGACAGGCTTCAACGTACGCTCAAATGAGGTTCCTACACAGGTGCCTAGACTCAAACACTCTGCCGAGATGCCTCTCATATAAATCCCCTGTCAACACCGAGCTAGGTAGACGAACAGTTCCACAACACGGACGCAGAATGATTCGGGTTCTAATCCAGGATTGTCACCTTCGACTGCGCAAATACAAGGCAACAATCGAGGAAGAACGAACAAAATGCTCACGGATCCTTGGAGAATTGCTGACAACCGATCTTCGTTGTTTCCCTCCAGTCACATGAATGTTTGTTAATTGCATACCCCAGTCTTATTCCTTTGTTTTAATTTATCTATTCCTATGTGGTTTTCTTTACAGTACGCTAGCACCTTTTTAAAGTAGCTTAAACCCTGCGAAATTTCTGCATCGATTTTTCCGCCTCCTGATCATGACTCCAGTGGTTGCACTTTGCGGCCAATTTGTCGTTTCTGCGATTGTCCTGCGTTGGCGTTCTCACGCTCCCAAACGCAACGAACTCACCGTGCCAGCAGCAGTTACACTCTGACAACTTGTCCTGTTTCTCGTCCTTCCTCGCTGGCCTTCCCACGCTCGTATCAGCAAAGGCCAATTTTTCGAAAGCAACATCGCTGTGGATGGCAAGTTGCGCTTAAACGCCAGCCTAATAACAAGTTGTCAATCCCGGGTTTTCTTTCGACTAACTGTCGATCGATATTTAACAAAGCCCATGATTTGGAATTACTTCTGTCAACCAAAGAACATGGCAAAACAGGAGTAATTTGCTCTCAGGAGACGTGGTTTAATAGCCATATTGACTCGGAATTAATCAGTCCTTCGACATTTTGCTGTTTTCGAAATGATAGAGCAACTCCAACAGGCAGTAGAGGTGGAGGAGTGGCCATTTTTGTCAAGCAAGACTGGTGTGTAAATTGTAAGCCCCTGTTTTCATATTCTGATGATTTAATTGATGTAATTGCTGTTATCTGCAAGCCCCATTTGTTAAATAGCTTTAAGGGTACTATATTTGTCAGTATTTACATCCCCCTTCCAAAAATGAAGGCTCTCTGGGCCGTTTTTTTGACTTCCTCACACAAAAACTTGCTTCATTATCCTCAGACCATCTTATTCTTTTGCGCGGTGATTTTAACCGTGTGAGTTTTCGGCCCATTACCCTTCTGGGTTTTGATGACCTTGTTTCATTCAATACACGGGCTGATGCCCCTCTTGATCAGATATTGACCAATTACCCAAAGCTTTTTTGTATTAAAAATAGAGCTCCACTCTCAGGGTCTGATCACTCAGTGCAACTAGGACTTCCAAAAGTCTATTCCACCTCTAAGCGTCAATTGCTTACAAAACCCGAGAGGAAAATTACTATTCGAGACACATCCGTAGATAAGATCCACTTACTATAGAGTTCAATTACTAGTACCATCCCAACTTTTCTAGCACTACCAAATGCTGAATTATGCTCTAATTATCTTACGCTATTTTTGAATCACATTTTTGATATTTGTTGTCCCCGTGAAACTGTTATGGTCAGGCCTGACAGAATCTCCTCACCATACCTCAAACATTTGAGACGTCGCAAAGAAACCTTTTACAAACTAGGTCAGCGTGACAAGGTGAAGGATATCAATGTTTTAATAAAGAACGAAATTGCCAGACTTAACGGTTTATTCGTTAGTTAACTTTTTTCTACTTCATCCACCCCCTCCTCTCCTTTTCGTTCTGCTGAACTGTGGAGGAATCTCAAGCGTCTCACTGGTCAACGTAATATACTTGAACCCATTGACGTAGATTTAAACTCTTTAAATCGGAATTTTATCTGTACTTCTAACGACTCCACTTCTCGCCCAAACGAAATTTACCTACCACCATGTGACTTCACTCCTGTTACCGTGACAACAGTGGAACACCATCTCAAAAAGATTCGCGGGTCAACGGCGGCTGGGCCGGACGGTGTCTCTCCTTTTCTCCTTAAGTCTTGCTGTTCGCAGATAGCTCCCGTCTTGACCCACCTTATTAATCTATCCTTCATAGAGTCCAAGATTGCTGACGCCTGGCGTACAGTAAGAATTACTCCAATCCCTAAAAAATCTTTAACTTTTGCTCCTAAATCTTTCCGTCCTATTGCCTGCTCTTCTGCACTCCTGAAACTTACTGAACGAGTTGCATTAGATTCCCTTAAGTCCTCCTCCGTCAATTTTTCTGATCCTCTACAATTTGCATACAAGACAAAGCGTAGCACCTTGGATGCTGTTGCTTTAGTTGTTCATTCAGCTTTGAGAGACTTAGACAAGGGATGCCGCGCATATGCATGTGCTTTTCTCGACTACTCATCCGCCTTCAACACTATTCCGCGCCAACTCCTCCTGACCAAAGCAGCTGCGTGCGACACTCCGAGCTGGGTTGTCTCTTGGCTTAGAGATTATTTTTCCTCCCGCACTCAGTTTGTCCAGTCTGGAAGGAGAAAATCTTCTATTCTTCCAAACAATCGTGGAGTTCTACAAGGTTCTATCTTATCCCCTCATCTTTTCTCCCCACATACTGATGATTTGAGATCGCCAAACGACTGCCTGTATGTTAAGTATGCCGATGACATGGTCGTAGGCCACCCACTCAAAAACCTGACTCACCTACAGTCTTTAAAGGATGGCTTAGTCCACGTCTCCGCATGGTCTTCGAATAATGGACTCCTACTCAACAATCAGAAATCAGTACAGTGTGTGTTTCGATTGCGACCCTCTCCCATTCCTGAACCTTTGGATATTCTTCCCAATGAGCTATCCTTTTTGGGTACCTCCCGGCAGAAGTGAGCTAAATACACGATGAGTTGTACAATTTTTCATTCCTTGACGATGGGCTCGCGTGAGAGTTCGAAACGTCGGATAAATAAACAATTGGTCCCAGCGATCTCCTTCCCATCTTCTTTATATATATATATATATTGAAGAAGATGGTAAGGCGAGCTCTGGGGATGATGATTTATTCATCTGACGTTTCACACTCATACTCGAGCGCATCATCGGAGATAGGAAATATTAGAAAATTACACGGTTTAAATAGGTCCCTC